ACCAGAAAATGAAATTATATTGTGGCATAATTCACATGCTCAGCTATCAGTATCAAATAATAAATTAATTTAAAATTTGGCATATTCTATATAACACATTCATAGAATATTCTACATCACGTCACAAGGACTCACAATCTTTCTGTTGGGTGTTTGATTGACGCATTAAATAAGTTTGTCTTAGGTTTTATTATTGCAAAAAATTCATATTGCATTATTGTATCAAAATACTGCCAGCAATAACAAAACAAGAACATGAAATGTCAATGAGCAAGACGCCTTTCCTAAAAATGGATTACTTTGAAAAGAATTTTAGTTTCTTTTAAGGAAAAGGAGAAATGATTATCAGGTAATTATCAAAACCACTCAACCAGCAAGTGGCTGGGTGGTTTCACAGCAAACATCAAGCCAAAACATATGCTTACATTTATCTAACAATTGAGCCATTTGACTACACAAGGATATGTGAGCAAAATAAGAATCCAATTATCCAATGTTGACTTCCTTGCAAAGTTTATGCCTTATTTTATGAAAATGTGTCACTAGAATATGATACTTATCATCGAATATTATTTAATTTACGATTTATTTCGATCGGAACGCACATGGAGTTCCGCGCCATTTTCGTCGACGATAAATATGATCGTGTTTCATGAAGAGATAAGGGGTTTCAATGGTCTTTCAAAGCAATAATTTGATGCAAAAATTTGTAGGAAATAATATAAAGCTGGTTCAAATGGCCATCAACCATTTAAAACACCGAAAATACTCACAACTCCGTCCCGACGACCACGCAGCACCGCGCACGCCACACTACTGGCACAATGCCAAAACTGCTGTCACAGCAGAAATGTTTTTTTTTTCTCGATTGCAATTGTGGAATTATTTATTAAACAGAAGATGCTCTTTCCGAAAAACCGACTGATTTCATACACAGATGCATGGAAAATAAAAAATTCCGGTAAGTTTATTTGTATTGTTTTGTCGATTTTGACATGCTCCTAGTTTGCAGCCATATTTCGATATGTTCTACAGGGAGTTCAGAATTATTTCAGGACCAATCTTTTCCTCATTCATTTTCCCGTCGATCATGAAATTTTTAGAGCGGAACAATTAGTTTCCAGGCGGTCCGAGCGGTTTTCGTGAGAAGGGTGCAAAAATCGGCGTCATTTTTAGAGCCTCGACACCAGCTCAACACAGGACCCTATGGGAGACGGTGAAGTAGCGGGAGCAATAAATAGAGCGCTCTAATTTTTGCTTATTTCCCTGGTGTGTCACCGACTGATACAGCCTCAGAAATTACAACAACACACTCAACTTACGGAATATCCGTCAAACAAATCTTATTTACGACGACGCGAGCCAATAGACGCGTTTACATAGGGTTTGTTGCAAACTTATATCTCCGTCCGTGATATTGCAAAAGATGCCAATGGTGCTTAACAATTTACAAAATGATCCCCTCTAAATATTTGAAGACCACTGCAACGAAATTATCGCCAAATTAACGAGCTAGAGCCTCGTCAAATATGCTATGTAAACCGGGTTAATGCTAACAACGCTTGCCAGTTGCGCTAGAGATATTGGAGTGGAGACGTCAGAGAAAAAAAGTCATTAGATTTCTCCCATTTCCCCACGTAACGTTGAACGGCCGTTGCGGCCTTATCTGGTATGCGACGGCCTTATCTGGCATAAAAAATGTCTCTAGAAGTCTCTAGCTAGTGTTAAGCCTATGGACTTATAGGGAAATGTATCCGAGTACTTGGTACTGCCTCCTCCAGGTACTGGCTGGCAGACGGATCAACTTTGGAGGCCCACCATTTGGAAATTAGGCAATTTTGAGACGAATGACTTCGGATTGGGGCCTCAGCCACCTTCTTCTACACGTTTCACTGAGTAACTCCGAAATTTCGGAAAAAACCCTGATAATACCTTTAATGGCGGCCGATACCTACTACCAACCTCCGGATCGAAGGTAATGTCTGACGGTAGCTCACGCGCTGAGACTAAAAAAGCATCACAGCCGCCAGCGCTGGCAGACATTCCGATCCGAGTCGACCCGAGTGAGATTCTGAGAGTCTGCTGACACTGCCATGGATGCCATAGTACCTATTTTGGTCAAATAGTGAATGTTATTGCTTGGATTATCGTCCACTCTATAAATACCTCACTAGCGAATACTTCGACAGATATATTGACAGACAAAACATATTGGGTTGCACCAATTTAAACGCAGGATACACTGAAGCTTTGACATTTCCATTTAAGTTTCCACTTGCTATCTCTTAAATCGTAAAAAGTACATTCAATTCAAAACATTTACGTGAAGGTTCCTTGTGAATGGGGGGGGGGAAGCATAGGATGTATCACGTTACCAATTTATTACCCGCGTTTATATATGTAATGTGCCACGAACGAACGGAAAGGAACAATCATTGGCATGCATTCATTCATTCATACTCATTTGTTCATTGTCTGTTACAACCTGGGTAGGAGATGGTCCCAGAGGAAGGTCCGGCAAGACTGTCGGCGGTAGCAGAGCTGCCGGTCGTGGTCACAAAAGCCATCGGAGAACTTGTAGAATCCACTCTTGTGTTTCTTTTAGCTTCTTGAGCCGTTCGCTTAGATCTCCTCCTCCAAAGTGATGTAGTGTCCCGATCAAGACCGCCGATTCGCAGCCGTCGTGCGCCTCGCTGATCGGCCAAAAATGCCCTGTCAGCCTCTAGCTCTGGTGCGCGCGCACGGTTGCTGATGTCAAACAGTGTGCTCATAGAGACTGTGGTGCCACCATATTTTTCCCATCGCTTCCTTTTTCTCTCTTTTGTCATCCACAACTTTCTCACATCTTTCAATACACTCTGATCAGATCGCGTAGGCAGTGAAGCCTTGTGCCACAAAGCCAGTGTCTCATTGGTCACTTTCTTCAAACATGGTTCAATTGGCGCCTTTCGCTCATCAGTTACAGACCGCTCTTCCATCATTTCAATGCGCACCATCAGCAGTCTTCCAATTACATCACCATTCGTTGGAAGCTGCTCTTCCGGCAAACGTTTTGGCTTTATTCCAAACTGACGGTGCGGCTCGTTCATTTTTCGTCGATAGAATTGTCCTTCCATCACTTGGCATAAATGACTCACTCAAGTAACTCAGGTTAAGATAGATACTAGATAGGTACTTGAACTATTAGCTGCCTGTAAACAATACAATGGAACAGTGAGGATTGAATATTTTGTGTAATAAAACATTTTCCCAGGCATATACCTTTGTAAAAAGTTAAAAACTCCACTTGCCAATATCGAATGCAAGGCCTGTCGGAAAACGGGTAAACATCTATAAAGGAAGGAAGTTTGGTATACCGGGTGGCCCAGAAAAAACGTTCCGAACTTTGGAGGCCTATATACCAAATACGAGTACAAATAACGAGCCAAAATTTTCGTCAAGTTTGCGTCATTTCTTTGCGCATTGGTATGCCAAATTATAACACTGTACCATCATTTTCAAGCTGGCAATCTTGAGTTGAATTAAGCAAGACGTTTTTGCTTTTTTTGCCGATGTCAAACGATAGTGATGATTGGGTTAGACGTCCCATGTTATAAAAAAGAATAAAAAATAGAGCACGTGAATGAAACCAACACGTATGTTCTTATTTTGAATATTTTTGTCTCACTTATGTGCCAAATATCAAAATACTGAGCCAAAATGGTGCTCATGGATGTCATTCGTTTTAACACCAAATCATGTTTCGAGCAGGAGTGGCACGGTGCATGGATTACTGCTGATTACCCTCCTTTCAGTAGATCAAACAGTAAATCGACCGGATAAGGAAAACAAACTAAAGCAGACTGGTTCCTGTGCCAGAAGACCACAGAATAGCTTATGAAAAACAACATTGCCAGCAGATGACAAAAACAAAACTGGTTGAAAAGCTACCTTTTCCCAGGAATGTCAGCCAGGAAAGCATTTGAGCCACAAGATGGTTAGAAAACTGGAAACTTCCTCCGATGCCGCTGGCACAGAGCCATCGTGGTTGCCTGAGGGAATGTGTCATCCTGAGACCCGAACCATCAATGAGACTAGCTGCCAGTAGAAGTCATGGCTCTAGGCCGCGGTGCCGCGGGGTGAAAGTGACCCGTTCACTCACATTTTTTTTTAGTAAACATCGGAGCAAAAAAGTATTTTTTACATGGCATGCTTGAAACACGAACCGTTTAAAGAGTTATTTACCGAACAGCATGAAAATCACACCATTTACTGAAAATGTGTGCCGCATTGACTATTCGAAGTTTCAATGTTGTATCTTTATCGCTTTCTGAGATATATTGATTTAAAGTTGGGAACGTTTTTTTCTGGGCCACCCGGTATATGCGACTTAGATGTGAATGCTATTCACTTTTAAAACCACTCATGACCTTAAAATGCGACAAATAAGAACCGCTTTAACTACTTACCACACCACAGCTCATTATCGCAGCACCAGCTGTGCCGTCACGCCGATAAATAAACAATACAGCTGATGGCCGCGCGGAGCCGATAGCAGCGCCATCTCTGGAGCGCCAACAGAAGCTCGGGTGTGGAGATAATGATGGGACGAATTTTTTAGGCGTGTCATTGACACAAGACGACTGCGACTGGTGTAAAGATGACTGAAAAGGTTTTGTCTATCATGCCTTAGCGCAATTTTCATCGACAGATGCAGCATTTGGCAATGGTTAGCCTGAACGTCGAAAATTCAGTAATTTTGAAAATCTTTGATCGATCAGTGCGGTCTCGAAATTTTCGAAAATTGCAATTCTGATGCCAGATTCGTGATCAGCGCCCAAAAACACATCTAAAGAGCAACAGCCGAGCTGTCTCAGCGAAAATTTTCCAAAAACGGACCACCCTACTACGCAATATCGAAAAAAGCAGCCAAATTATCATTCTCAAAAATGTTGTTATCGTCCATTATAGAAGCATAGTTAACACATATTGCCGATGCTTTGCTGTTAATGTGTACTTACGTTGGGGTAGATCCGACAGGGACGAGAGGAATCACTCCACCATCGGCCAGAGGAGTTCCGTAGCGGAGCAGAACCGTATCATCCGTCGCGAAGTTAGCCGCCGAGAATGGTGGCGGAGAAGACCGTGGCGTAGAGCATCTCTCCAGCCGGATGAGCCTTGCCTTCCCTGCATTCGGAATGTCTGCTTCCTCGTCTACTACGGCATAGTCATCAAAGTCACTCATGTACCACTCTAGGATGTAATCGCCGTTCACTTGGAACGCTGTTTTTGAAGCTTGCAGTGCATCACGTTTTTTGTCGACTTTGATGAGTTTGTTGAACACCTTGTCATCTTGACGTAAAGAAATCAGATACCTGAACGGCTTCGTTGTTGTCTCTGTCTTCGGTGTTGCCTTCGTTGTTGTCATCTGAAACAATACAAATACGCATTACACATGCGTAACAGCGCAACACAGGCGTAACGCAGTTGCTTCTCCACTGAACACATCTTAAAAACAGTATTTAAAAATCAAATCATCGAAGTAAAAGTTTTTGCTTGATGATGATTATTTCGAGGGTTAAGGGCCACCAGAATGCGGTGGTAATCGGCCCCAATAGTAGTGGAGAGTGGGGCAAAGCGGCCACCCATCGTTTACCCTACACAGCTGGCGTCAGTTCCAATTTATGGTTTCCAATTATACCTCTCTTCGCGGTCGTTCGAATGAGCCAGACCGTGGTTTCAGGCCCATCGCCATTGTTCTGTGAAACACGGAAAAACATTTCTTGCCAGGTTACAAACTATGTTTACAATTTTTAAATGTTATGTTATTCCATAACCGTTTGGAATTTTTATAAGCGTTCCTGTCCATGCATCGCGTGGTTATCGTACATGTCTCCTACCAATTTTAATGCTTTTTACCCTACTTACAGCTGAGCTGGAATATTTTTGCCTCCTAACGCTTGCCTCGGACGGTATGCGCGGGGCAAAGTGGCCAGCCCTCAGTTGGCCACAAGTTGTCTCCATCTGGATAAAAAACATTATTCATATTCAAATGTGTCGCCATGCATTCATCTTGGCCACTTTTCGGTTAAAAGAGTTACCAAATAATGCAATTAAATGTTTTCCATGAAAATCTTTTCTTTGTTAACCTACAGGTGAGAGGATAACAAAGTAAAAATCTATCCTCGCTTAAACCTTATCACCATCATATACCCTAGACGTACATGAGGCAACTATTCTGTTTCTCATATCGGCACTTGAGAAGTCAACGGGGGCCGCTTTGCCCCAGGCATGGGACAAACTGTGGCTAATATGCTTAGGTTTAAGTTTTGTCAATATCTCCCATATGTGAACGCCTTTGGAAATGAAACGCAGTTGGAATAACAGGCAATTTAATAGGGATCACATTGGCATAGAAAGAATCCTTCCAAGTTTCAAAATCAAGCGTCGGCATCGTAAGAAGCGTTCGGGTGGCCGCTTTGCCCCACTCTCCCCTACATGTATGCCTTTACTGCATTCCTGACAGGTTGCGTGACTGAAGGTATCACTCAAGAAATCCTGAAGTTGAATTGCACACGAACTGCAGACTGCAGACGGTCAAGGTCAGCTAACCTGCCTGAGGGGATGATGCAGGAATACAAGGAGGTTCTCAGCAACGTAATATTTAGGATATTCAAAATACAACAAGTTATATAGGATAGACGGAAGGTATCAAAACTTTTGCCACACTGTATAAAATGGGCAGACCACGAAAATGGCCCATAGTCAATATAATGTAATAAAAAAGCACACTATAGGTACCACGGAGTCTTTCAAATGCTGATAGTTTCAAAAATTTGTCTCAATCACTCTCGCCGTGACGGTACCAAACATTTTTCAGGTGAAGTTCCTTGATCTGACTCGGTGGCCTGACTCTGGGCCGAAAGTTGTAGAGTATACGCCAATGATGACCGGATAGTCTGACAAGTTTGGCGGCTACGCGCCGATTTTCTTTTCGCTATTTACAAAACCAGGTGGGAACACGCCCCACCCCCGCCCACCGCGGGTTTATGCGTGAGTTGTGCGACTGCTCCTCGATTTCCTAGTGCAGTGGGTGTCACAAATCCGAAGGGGTGGCAACAAACATCTACCCCATGATTCATCTCAAGCCATTTCGGAGGAAGTGGGTGTATGACAAAGGTTTCGGACAGTGGGACGACCATGCAAACAAATTATGTATGCATGTATACTGTATAGCCACATGGGCACTATTTCAAAATAAATGAAATTCGACATCGATTTTTCACTGTCACATCCAGCATAACAGGATAGTATGTAGTACGATGAGAAGCAGAACAGGATAGATTCGTACCTTAAAGGAAAAGGGCCACCTTTAACATGGGGATTGAAACTGAGATAGCCATCTTGTAGCCCGTGTCCGAAAACCTGACTGTCTACCTCCTTACGGCCGAGTTCGGCCTCCATTCGTAGTTATCGGCAATTTTAAAAGAAAATACGCCAGGAATGCGTCCTTATCCCAGGAATGCGTTCTTATCCGACAATACAGCCACCCGCGGCGAGGCTTTGGTTTTTTACCAATCAGCTCCAACCAGCTCAGCTTTAACCAATCAGCTTATCTGACACAATCCGACGAGTCTGTCTTCTGAACCCTGATTGGCTTGAGTGTGACGTCATCGCTATGCCATCATACAGTAGGTGCCGTAGAGAGTATCAACATAGTACCAATATGTTAAATAGTTTTAAATACTTTTTCGCGAATTGTGCACTTCTGGCACCAGTTTTAAAAAGAAAATGAAAAATAATAATGTCAAAATGAAAAGCAACGATATCTTCATATTTCACGAAGGTGGCCCTTTTCCTTTAACTTTACGTCTGGGCGAGTCCTCAGGTTGAGAGCATTCCACAGCTCCTCAGGTGGTGTCGAGGTACTGCATAGGAAGCACCCTGCACATGGTATGAACCCATGGGCTGGGTGTCTGCAGCAGCTGCACTCGTTCAAAGCTTTCTTCAGGCATCATCCAGAAAGCCCCAATGTCAGCATCGAACAGACATTTCTGAGACTGCACGACCAGAGATCGTCCGTCTGGGAAGTCGCCGATCCCAATCACTTGTTTGAACCCAGAGTGTGTGTGAACAACGTCTCCTGAGTTGTACTCAATGCCATTCATTTCCGCACGGCGGAAAAATGCCGCTTCCCTCACCAAGCCACGGACAGCCTCAGACAAAGCGCCTCGGAATAGCGGAGGTCGTGACTCGTGATCCGCGTCTCGATCCACATGCTGCTTGACCTGATGCCTAGCTGCCATGCTCTTCGGCAAATTCTTCCGATTTTTTGAGGTGGCCACGGACTGCTTCAGGACCTGATGTTTTGCCTCAAATCGCATACTCCATAGCCGCCTAAGTGGGCCGTGCCTCAGTGTTTGCTGTCCGTAGTGGAGCATGTAGTGGAACTTCGGGCTGAGGCGGAAAGACGGAAACAGTATCCGCAGATCGGACAGGAACTCCTCAACTCGTTTTTCAAGCACGGTTGCTTCCGCTTGAGATATTGTGAATGACATGGCCAGCAGAACTACCTTGATCAGCTTCGAGACCAGATGGATACTTGGGTTGGTAGACAGAACAGCCATGGGAATGCCCGCAAGTAGAAGAATGAGAGGAAATAGCCGAATAAGGCACCACATTTCGCTAGCCTTGCCCTTCACAATGACGCTAGCACCATATCGGCGAAGAATTCCTGGGTGATTCACATCCAGTCTGGCGTACGGAAACGTCCGGATACTTTTGTTCAGGTCCTCCAAAGTGACGATGTTTTCATCGATCAGCTTATTTGTCACCAAGCCTATGGTCGACGGAACCACTCCTTCCAACAAGTCGTGCATGACATCCGGAGGCAGCGACGTCATACAGTGGAATTCTGCCAGACCGTTGAACGGGCACGAACGCTTGATGCCAAACGCCAAACACATGCTTTCTTCGTAATTCAGTTCCTCCAGCAACTTGATTTTGGCATCGTACTCGGCACGCGTCCTGAGTTCGAAGTCTGCAACAGCAGTCTTCTGCTGAATTTCCTCCTTCGTCCCCAAGCAATGCCTGCACATCATGGCACCTCCGTGGAAGGAGGTGGAGAATCCGGCAATGGAATGTACCCCCAGGTTGTCACCCAGCACAGCAGCTAGCCTGACGGGGATTTTGACGCCAGAATCCAAACACAGACCTTGTGCTTCCAATTCCGTGAGCTCTGTCATGAGCGGTTCAAGCAGACGTGCCCAAGAATGTTTCCGCAGAAGTTTCTCATAAAATATCATGAGCAAGATAATGTTGTCCACCTGAGTACCATCTTTAAGATTGTTCACAGCGCAGTAGATTGCACCGACCTTGGAGTCCTTTGCTTTGCTAGACAGCGGGTTTCCGACCTGAAAGTCGTCGTAGTATATCGAGAGGTGCAAGGTGTTTTTGGTCGATGTTTGGTGCATGCTACCATCCCAAATGCCATGCAAGTCATGCATCTGATGGGCGTCATCGCCGCGTGCTTCTCGGCCAGACGCCCTGTCATTCGGAACTGACAGAAGACAGGCTTCATCGGGACAAAGTCGCTTTAGCTGCGGGGTGAGCGGGACGCAAGGCGGGACGTATTCGTATGTTTCCATCTTGCCATCAGCATCCGCACAGAGAGTAATTGTCTGGGGAGAAGGTATGCTACATTTCTGAAGGACATGTTTGTCTAGGTGAGGACTTTGGAGAGCTTCACTTAGTGTGCGCAGAGAACGGGGTTCTTTTCCTTCTTGCCCTGGTACTTGAGGAAGCTCACTGTGTTCCAAAATGGCCTTTTTGGTGAACGAATCCATATACTCCAGTATGCCTCGACAGGTTTTCTCAGTGACATTTTTTGAACGCAGCTTCAGCACGAATGAGGCTACTGACTCAGGCGGGCGAGGCGGTTCGGAGTGACAATGCGTTGGGCCAGACGGCCCGGCAGCGTTGATTGGGGCAGTATTCTTCTCCGATTGCTCAGCAGCGGCCACACTCTCCTCTGACTGATCTGTCGACGTCGCTGGGACAGTATCAGTATCACCACCCATTTCATCAGACTCCTGCACCTCAGGTTTACCGGCTCTATGTCTCAAAACGTGCAAGCGCCAATACTTCACCGATGTCATTGGTACCATGTTGCAGTACGGACAACCTATTCTGAATGTTGGAGCAGCTTCGTGTCTACGGACGTGCTGACAGAAACGAGTCAAATCAAAATTTTTGAAAGGACACAGGGCATTTCAGCTCTTGCTGTTGCTGATAAATCCTCTGAGGAAGCAAAACACGAGGACACAGTTGGTGGTGAGGTTGGAACGGACTCTTTCCGCAGTAGGGAAATTACATGCGAATTTTTTTAGGTGTCCTCAGGGTTTTTCTCAAAATTTCGGATTTACTCAGTGAAACGTGTAGAAGAGGTGGCTGAGGCCCCAATCCAAAGTTATTCGTCTCAAAGTTGCCTCTTTTTTAAAGGGTGTGCCTCCAAAGTTTTCGCGGCTGCCAGCCGCTGGAAACTTGGATATATTTTTGGTGCATCTCTATTGTCCATCGGATTGATACAGGAGGATATTTTCTAGAAATTCCAGGGGAAAATATACGCGCCCATATGGGCGTTTATTTTTCCTCAGAAATATGGAGTTCTAAAAAGATCTCACGACTTGTTACTGCATTTCTCCATAACAAGTGCGTTTAGAATTGATCTGTACTTGAACTGTCGATATTCAAATAAATTTTGCCTTTGGTGAACTCAAGTGACCATAAAAAATGACTTTGTATTTGATCCCAATTGGGATGTTTGAAACATTGCAATGTTTGAATGGAGTATTAACCCTATTAGTGGCAGGCTCCTGGCTACCCCTATTAGTGGCAGGGGGGCTGTTTACGACCCTGATATCTCGAGATCTAACGGGCCTATTTTCAAAATTCAAACGGCATTCGATTTCGCTCAACGTGATCTACATGTCTAAAAAATAAAAATTAAAAATGTCAATAGGGGGGTAGAGGGGGGTAAAAACGGGCAAATTGCAGATACATTATCACGGCCAGGTTTCTGAACCAATCTTAGAGGGACTATCCCACCTTTAACATGGGGTTTGAGTTGAGATAGCCAAGTTTGCGGCGAGGTTCAGAAACCACTATCTAGGTTGCAACCCCCGCGGCCTCTTGGTGTTGAAGAAATTCGTTCCCTTCATTTGAAAATGGGCCTTGCGCAAGGCCCTATCTTCAACATGGAGCGACCGTTAGTGTGACGTCACCTCGTTTAGTCATTCTGATTTAAATGGGTTTGTTCGTTGAAAAATCGCTTAAAACTTGGTCTGAACTTTGTTGTGGTGCCTACAGAGTAAAAAGAATCAGCTTTATGACAATAATGTGGCCTGGGGAAGGAGGTAATTTTGGGCTGTGACGTCACATATTTGAAAGTTTGTGTTTGGAATATGGGAAGCCTAAGATGTTTATTGAAAAATTAATGCCAGAAGCGTGTTCCTGGTCATCCAATCTATAAAGTCGGGCACAATTTAACTGGTTTTAACAACATTTTAGAGAGTGGGATAGTTCCTTTAACGCAACTTTTGCCGATCCTTTAACGCAACTTTTGCCGATCGAGAATGAACCAGGAATTCACATGGATCCTAAAAATATGCATTTTCAAAAATCATAGGCGGATACAGATCATTGAGATTGGGGGTACACAAAAAGTATGGTAAATAAGGTTTTTGTTGGTACTGTTTCTAAAAAGGGTGGCAATGGTCTTGTTATGTTACAATTTTCTTATGAGAGAACGACTACAATTGTATTGGTCATGCATAGGCGGTGTCAGGGCACGTATGTTGGGAGGTAAAACATAACCCCCCTTTTTGGACGCCTGGATCCGCCTATTATAGCAAAAACGTGTCAAAAGAGGATGCACAATAACTTTGTATATGTTATCACATGATACCTTTCATTCACTGTTCGTAAAACTGGTGCATACAGTTATAATACATCAGCATCGTGATCTTCGCCCAAATGACTCGCTTCACGAATAGGACCCCCCCCAATTCCCAGTGCTCTGGAGCCGCCCCTGGTAAAGTTATGAACTTGAAATTTTCAGGGAAGGTGCCCAATTTAGTTTTAGGAAAAGTCAGAAAATTTCTGCATCGTAGCTTCAGCGGTTTCGGAGATATTCCCGAAAAACCTGAGGGGTGGATGAAAACAACCCCCCCCCCCCGCCACTAATAGGGTTAACGAAGCAACAATTCGCGCTAAACGTGGGTGGCTCAAGAGTGGTGGCTGCCTTAGACTGCAGACTGTCGCCGCAGGAGCAACTACTGAATAGTGCTCGATCTGAAGGTAAGCGCTCTTCCGGCTGCGCTCCTTTATACTTTGGCGGCTTGTGCATTTAGTTTTTATTACATTGCCACTATGCTGATCTAGGTATCTGATTCAGATCGCATAACATTAATACCTATGAAAAAGTGGAAGTGCATAACATCTATGTATCTTTCCAAACGCGGCCCTCCCCCCCCCCCCCCCCCACCTTTTTCACTGTACAGGGTGTCCGGAAATTATTTGCCCCTTGTTCATTCGGCTATAATCCCACCGTGCGCTTTAGGAACTGTTGAAAATTTGCTTAGACCGTGCCTCAGGCTATCCACAGCTGTCCGTTAGTCACATGACCTAACTCGGTCACCTGACCTTGACACTGGTGAGGCGCCAGGGGCCAGTGTTTGGCAGGCATCACTCGCACCTGGACGTGGTGTCAATCAACTATGGCGAAAGAAACTCTAAGACAAAGCGTCACCGCACTGAAGTTATGGTGAAGACTGGAATGGAGTAGGAAGTCAAATCGAATCATCTGTCCTAAACCCAATCGAAACCCTATGGGGAATCAGGAAGGAGGAGCTCAGCAAGATTGGCCCAGCTCCCACAGAAAACGGACTTTATATGAACCTGTGAAAGGTGTTGCTGAACATCAGCGCAGATACTTTGGACATCTTGATCTATGGAATACCAAAGCGGATGAGGGAATGGGTAGGACGGGGCAGGGGATAAATCGGTAAATAAAGCATGACCCAGGGGCTCTTTGTTTTTAATTATGGTGGCGAGCTGACGGAGGGACAAATAATTTCTGGACACCCTGTACCTGCATGGCAAGCCTTACACTCATTCATCATATTTGACAAATATGTTTCTTGCTAGAAACACATTGCAGCGATTCACCAAGCAATATGCGCATTTTACATCTGCACTGCATTTACACTGCAAACGTTTCAAGAAATGTTAATTTAGAAACAATTTCAAAAATATCGATGGCATGGTTAGAAATGTCAAATGACGTTAAAGGAAGGGTGCCACCTTTTGGACACAACGCAGTTTTTACAAGATTAGCCTCACATGAACCTAAAAACCGGCTTCACTTACCGATGCTCGAGACGGTCAGCATTGAATCCGCACGTGAAGTTATCATTTGCGAGTTTTGCTGCCAGCATTCGGGCAGGCAAAAATCTTCAGCACTATTTCCTCGTCGTGTTAAGGGTATTTTATAAAACATGAAATCAGCAAAGGTATGTATAAAAGTTATACTTTTGAAGCATGTTTTATCATTTTGAAAGGGTATATTTTTTCTTTATGGTATACACTTCAGTTTTAAAATTTTAATTGGGAAGTTTTTCTAGTAAGTTGCATGAAGGGTGAAGGGTTCCATAGATCTCTTAAGCATTGTAAATGAAAAACCTTTACTCGACTTATTTGATGTTCTTATTTGATGATGAAATATGGCCAACAGTTACCTACTTGGTTACCTACAACTTAGTTCAAATCATGTTATCTTCTTCCTTTTTTATTTGTTCATCTTTTTGTCTCAGTTGCGCCATCAATGCAAATGGCAGAATGATATGTTGCCATGACAACAGGATATGCCAGCCGTCCTAGCTGCCACATCAAACGACCTTGAGTTGTAGTGGTGATATAAACAACGATCTTTTTTTTGGCCAATGTATTAAATGCAATGTTTCGGTTTTTTGTATATTGTGGACGCGCTAACCACGTCTAAAAATTCAAATAAGTAAAATAGATTCATAGAACAAAAATTTCGGAAGGTGGCACCCTTCCTTTAAAAAGAACGAACAACAAAATGCACCAGAAAAATGGCCAAATGGGACAGGCCCAAAAATGTAATGTCATATTAACAAAATTTCATCTCCTGTCACTCATCTTACCGGTTCATCCATCTTGTCTTGCCTCGGCCCGACGCCAGCCAAGCTGAAAAGAAGAACAAGAAAGTCTCAGATCCAATACTGTCAAGAAAATGCAAGGCAAACTAACATAATCATGATTCATGATGTACCAGTTCGTTCAATAAGCGAGGTAAAATCACATGTATTACAGTCCACCTAGGTATGCTGTAATGGCATAAAACTAACAGCAAATGTTCAGTAAGCTTTCGTCTACAAAGTCGCTATCAGCATTAGTTGGCAGGTCTTGTCAGCCAGCCTCCCCAGCCTTCGAAAGTCACACCTACTTCCGATCACCGTTCGGGCGCACGCGCTTGTCCAGCAATTCACCCAGCGCTGAAAGCTTGCTGGAAAAACTCCTTATTTATATTCTTATACTCTTATCTACTATTTTATTGATTTCATCAATAAAAATATTCCCAAGCAAAACGTGACCCAGTAAAAAAAAAATAAAAATCAAGCAGGACAGTGATTCAAACACCTAAAAACGGTTGCAAACTTTAGTCCAGTGGTCGGCAGGTCCTCCGGGGTCGTGCCCCCTTTTTTGGCGCCAGGCAGGGCCATTACCCCCACCTACCAGACCCCATTGGTGATACAACCAAGGTTACTGAAATTCCATACTTTTCCGTGACTCTTTGGGTACCATATCTGCGAGAAACCACAGGCCCCCTCCCCTGCGGTTTCTCGCAGATATCTCAAAAACATTGGCACGGAGCGACACCATTTTGGAACATTTTATCATACATCGTTTCTGCACATGTTGTGAATATTTCAGACCAGAGTCACTCAAGGTCAGGTCACCAGATCACGTCAAGTGACCTCACCTCAGTAAAGACTGCAACGCCTGCTTTAGCTGCATGGAGTGACAGATCTCTTTCAAACTTTCAGGAATTGATAAAGGCAACAACATGTACAAAATTTGTATCTCGGAGATTTGATGTCGGTGACCAAAGTTCAGGTCAATTTCACGCCCTCTCCCATTATCAATGGGAGAGCGCGCAAAGTCAATGGTAGAAAATTGAAAGGCGCCTCTTTTGGACCAGTGTCATTCCTAACACTGTGACACTCTTATTTACAAGTAAACATGACCGCTGAACCGGAAAATTGCACCCGTAACCCCACTGTATGTCCCTGAGGTCATTTCAGGTCATGAATGGTATCTAACAGCTATTCGCTAATAACTTTTGATAAAGGCATCCCAGAGCGATGAAAATGCCTTAGATGTGTTCAGCTCGACGATACGGATCGACTGATGTGCAACAAAACCTTCGATGCTTCTCGACGGGAGGATCACGATGCTGATAAAAGTGAGCTCTTGCAAGTTTTGAGCGAAAAGTTTTAAGAAAAACTATCAGCAAGCAACGTACATTTTGGCAGTTTTTGTCTCCTGCAGGCTAAACCATCTTCGGCTGAATCTGAGGGCAGGCATCAGAAAAAACGTTAAGAGAGCTATCGAATGCGTTTTTCCGCAGCGCTGTAGCTCTATCCTTTCCTGAGCTATAGGCCAGTTTGTCGAAAATTGTCAAAGGTTGACCTGGAAATTGGCGAAATTTTACGTTCGATGAACTCTGGTGACCTGACCTTTGATTTGACCTAAAAGGTGACCATAGTTTTTTCATCATTTCTTACGCTCTTTCGATCGCCGACTACGGCGTTTCGCTAGTGACCCAGGACCCAAGTTAATAGGGGGTGTTCAACCTCCATCTCCAGCAGGGCGTGGAAATCCAGGAGCCCTGCAGCGGGGGCGCGGGTTAACCCCCATACGTATAGGGGTAGCGGGTATTTTTCGAGAATAGATCACGTTAAAAGGGTCGGATCACGAAAAAAACTGTACCATCGAGCCGATCATTTTTATCTGTCCTGAAAATGGCATGAATGACCGTTGATTTGTGAGATCTTTCTTGAGATCATGGCAGGCCACAAAATCTCACTTCAAGAAGTTACAGCAGGACCCGATTAACTCGGCAGTTGTTATTGACCTATGGAAGGTCACCCAATGACAAACGACCTTTAAATTGGGTAGCAGCGGCTGCTTATCTTCACGGGCAACACGCTAAATTTTTCTGCAAAGCTCCAGCTCAGAGACCGAGATGCTCAGGTCAGGGTGCAATGGACGACTCTTCTCCCTTGCGTTAGTGACTGTGAAAACGCCAATAGACGAGCGCCGGCTAGTACATGGCAGTTACTTTCCACGACTGTACGGAATGGTGAGCAGCTACATGAAATTTGGCATGCGCCAGCTAATCAGTTCATGCTTTGTGCGTTTGACCTCGACTAATCTTTGAATCCTGGGTTGCGATGTTTGTCCCATCAAGGGAGCCATTAATTCTTAAAAAAAGATGAGGCTTTCTCAGAGGCCCTCAATCCTCATTACCCCCCGCCGAAGGGCGCCATTACCCCCAAAGGGGGCATGCCCCACCATTTGCCGACCCCTGCTTTAGTCCAAACTTTTAAGAATGGAAGGATGCAAAAGGGCAGGACCCCCGCTAAACGAAGCTTGTTGCGTTGACCCTGCCTTCTACCCTCCGATCGCGCAATGCCGGTTCTATGGCAGAATTTGGAATCCAAACTGAAACGTCCGCACATACCAATGCACGGCCGGTTTCCTCACTGACTTCAGGCTGGCTACAGCCTACCACAAACCGCAACCATACCCGTCAGGAGGCTCATGGGTGGAGAACCTGCCCCGGCCACCCCGGCCGTGGCCGGGGTAACTTTCTGCCGACCCCGGCGCGGCCGGGGTAACTTTTTCCACTTTTGTAAATCCTAAAAGCTGTCTCCATACGAAAAAAAACTGCCATCTATAAAAGCGTCTCTCATTATTCTTATCTACCTTGAAAAGTTTTGAAAATTTACTTTATTTTCATTTTGGAGCTTCTATGTTTTTAAGTGTTTTCATCGCGGAGCCCGACATGTTTCATCAAACAGAAGTAAATCATATTTCAGGGCCGTTATCGTAAGATGGCACTGTAATAACTGATCAAAAGACAGGACGATGGTAATATCAGTGAGATAGAAGGACGAGCTGCTGGGGCTCAAGGCTCCCCCAACTTAACCCGCGCCAGGGTGGTGACCTTATCGTAACACGTTGAGTCGAGAGTTGGGCTTTTTACGCTCCTCCTAACTCGGCTACTGGGCTACGAGGCGAGAAGCGGAACGACGTTTGAAAGAGCGACAAACGTGATCAGAGAAATCTGGTCATGTTTTAGGCAAGCTCAATAATAAAATCACCATAGATCATCAAAAGCCAAATTTCTCTGATTTTAGCGTTCTCCGACAACTTTTCTCACAGTTCATGAGCATAACGGAGCTTAAACACTGTAAACAAAACATTCGATTACGAAAACATTCGAATGTTTTCGAAAACATTCGAAAACATTCGATTCGGTCGCGAATAATATTTCAGGTGCGAGCTCAAATCAATAAGAGGGTCAAAACGGTCAAATTTGACATTTTGTTTTGTGTGGGAAGGTTGCAACTTCCACGGAATAAGCTTTGCAAAGGGCATGATGACATTTTTAGCACGATCATCCAGCAAATTTGGCCTGATGACCTGACCTAGCACTAGGTGACATGCGTCCGAAATTTTAAGGCGTGTTGCAAAATTGTTGTTACAATTACGACATCTTCCGCACCTGCGTGCAGCAGTTTTCCCTAAAAACGTACAAACGGCAGACATCCATTATTCTATGCCACAGAAAAGGGGTTTGTTGATAACCGTTGACAAATATTTGAGCATCATCGTCTTTCTGACTTTCGGTCGCCGGCCGGGGTAACTTTTTCAAACATTCTCCACCCGTGAGGAGGCTCATAAACGTCAAGCGCCCGTCGCATTTCCAACCCGGACCTTAGGTCAGTTAGAGGTCATTACGTCGTAAGTTAAACCTATGGGGAAAATATTCAAATGACTCAAATTCGGAAAATACGCTTCGTTCCATCGCTTTTGTGGTTTAATACCACACGACTCAACATTATGTCACTTGTTTTTTTCTTTGCTTGGTGTACTTATCCAAGGGTCAGGTCACATGAGGTTAACTTAGGTCAAATGACGTTTGTGCCAACAACTTGTCACATAATAAAGATAGAGCTTTAAAAATGGTACCATTTTGTTCCTCTTGAGCAGCCAAGTCGAATGATATGCAACATTAAGCATTTCGACCATTCTTCAGAAGTTGTGCCTAACTTCTTAAGCACACTAAGCAAGGAAAAAAGTACATATTTGACGCGCCTTGACGTGCTGAGTTCACTGGAACTTTTGTTTTTGCTTTATCTTTTTTTAATATTTTTGTTACCTGACCCGGGCTTTTGTCGTTAGTAGCACACATTCATACTGGGTTAGTACACTATACACGGCAGTGGTACGAATCGTTTTCGGCACCCCCTACACGGGACAGCCTTGGTCCTGTTTCACCGGTGATAGCAGCACGCTACTATCAAATTGCGCGAGCTGACGCAATGTGATGACGTCACACTAATGACGTTTCGTGTAATCCGTGAGCTTTTTCATAGCTACGTTTGGAACAGAGTTGCTGTCTCGTTGAATGCGTTTGATACATTCGCACGGCCGTGAAGATGTCAGCAATATTTGATGACATCTTGACGACGCCATGGTTTGTAGATGTTTCCATGGAAACCCAATTTGACACGTGTGATAGCAGCGTGCTGCTATCACCGGTGAAACAGGGCCCTTGACCGCACGCTTCCTGTCACGCACCCCAGGTGGCACCGCACTGGTGCGCACGCTGGGGCTATCCCGATTTCTCGGGCCCGGCAGGTCAGAGGGCTGCTCCGGGACATGAAGCGAGGCCGTGCCCTCGGGACATGTCACCAGACCGAAGGATCTGTTTAAAGGGACTATCCCACCTTTAACATGGGGTTTGAGTTGAGATAGCCAAGTTTGCGGCGAGGTTCAGAAACCACTATCTATCTAGGTTGCAACCCCCGCGGCCTCTTGGTGTTGAAGAAATTCGTTCCCTTCATTTGAAAATGGGCCTTGAACAAGGCCCTATCTTCAACATGGAGCGACCG